CGTTAGCGCCGGCGGCGGGAGGGGCCCCTCCACACGTGCTCGGACACCGGGTCAAGGGCAGAGTTACCCGGCGAGCTCAGTGCGGACAGACAGACGTGCCCACGCTCAGACACACGGCTCCCTACAGCCGGGGAAACAGCCGCCGGGCGACAGGCTGCGACCCGCAAACAGTCAGACAGCAGACAGCAGACAGGGAACGGTGCCCGAGGGGGAGGGAAGCAGCGACTCCGCTCGGTTGCCAGCGGCGCACATCCGCGGATGCCTCAGAGGACAGAAATGAGCCTGTGAGGGGTGGGGACGGGCTTCGGGGTAGGGGCTGCAGGACCCCGCCCGCGGGCGCCCCAGGCTGGCAGCAGCCCCAGCGGTGCTTCAGAACTTTGGGGACAGGTCAGGGAGCCGCCCTGCCCGCTCTCCGCTCCACCCGGGCCCTAGCCAGCCCACTCTTTCTGCTGTGGAGGGACTAGTCCAGCTTTCGCTTCGCTCCCTAGTTTCCCACTCCAGTTTGCCCCCTGAGCAGTCTCTGTGCTGCGTTCTGGCACATACCTAGTGGTGAGCGGGCACACCTGCCGTGCAAGCCTCCCTGGGCCTGTGGGGGTCAGGGCTCCACCTCATCCCTAGTGAGCGTCTCCACCAGGTCCTCTCCTCCTGCCACCCCAAGGCCGGCTCCAGCCAGACGTGCTGTGGGTGCCCCTTGGGTCTCTGGGCCTGGAGTGGATGGGGGCTGAGAAGGGTTCTGGCTCCCTCTCACCAGCTGGAGCCTCGGTGTCCCCACCTCGGCAGGCACCAGGAACCACGGTCTGTCTAGAGCTGAGGGGTAAAGTAAACAAGAGTCTGTGAGGTCTCGGCCGGCCGCCACATCTGTCCTGGTGATTGTCATCACCGTGGCAGCTCACGGGCGGGTAGCCAAGCCCAGAAGCTGGGGGTGCCAAGGTCAGGCTGGCATTTTTCCTTTCCATCATTCATCCACAGATCCCCAGACCTCCAAACACCTCCTGTTGCCCATCCCTAGGCCACCTGGGCAGAGGGCACTTCCCTGGGGGCTCTGCTGGGCAGCTGGGTACGGACAGCTTACCTGCCATTGCTCTACCCTTTTCCAAGGAACCACGGCCTAAGGCAGGGTGATATCAGAATGTCGAACACACAACCAGGGCAGGTGGTGTGCTCACATACTGCCCTTCGCTCAAGAAGATGACCGTTCAGAGTCCTTACCCCTCTCCTAGGGGCACCCAGCTAGGGTTGGGATGGGCTCATCTTGGACCCTGGCACCAAGGGTCTGCCCATGTAAATGGGTGAGTCGACGCATTTCCCCAAGCCTGAAGATCTTCCTCACAAGTGGAGGCCGAGGGGAACCCAGGAGGACCCAAGGTCTGATGACAGTGGCTGGAGTGGTGGGCGCCCCCTATTGTCCAGACTCCTCGCCAATATATACGCATGAGTGTAAAGCCCCCGGAGGCGCTAACACTGGGCAGGACCAGCTCCCTTGTCCAGAACCTACAAGCCACCTGCCTGGGATCCTGGGGTCCACTGTCTCAGCAACCACGTGCCTGACCAGGCCCTCAGCTGGGGCCCGTGAGGCCAGTGAACATACCACTGTGGCCAGCATCAGCACACAGGGCCGCGGCCGGGCTCTAGCACAGCCTAGGCAATGCATGGAACAGGCAAGTCTCCACAAGGTGCTCTGCTCTGGAGGACTCTGTCCCAGCGTGGCTGAGTTGTGCACTTTGTGTAGAAAAAGGGACGTGGGTTTCAGGAGCAGTGACCAGTGTCTTGGCAGGTGGTGAGGGTTCTGGGAAGAAAGGCCTGGAGATGGAGATCAAGAGCTCTGAGCGGCTGCATGCATGGGCTTGTGACTGTGGGTGACAGCGTGGTGGGCTTTGTGTCACATGCAAACACCCTCCGGAATACATCCATCAACAAAGGGTGACGGTGACACACACAGACACAGTGGCCACACCGAGGCTGTGTGCGGGCCAGGAGCAGATCACTGCAGGGTGAGCATGCTGCTGTCACTGCTGATGCCAGTCTGCCCACCAGCGCCAGTCCAGCTCCAAGCTGCCAGGGGCACTGTCTTTAAGGAGAACACATTGGGCTCCTGCTGTCCTGGCCCTCACAGGATCCCCACTGTGTACCCAGTCCAGGTTTGGGCTTGCCTCTCTTACCTATGCCACAAGGCAGGGGCTGGTGAGTCCTGATCCCCAGGGGTGATATCTGGCTAGGGCGCCCACTGCCCAACAAAGAAGGTACAGGATTGGCCCAGGATCAGGAAACCTGGGCTGTGTTGCTGGCCACACCTTCCAGGAAGAACTGTCCTCACCAACAGCAGAAACTAATCTCCCACGGACACACAGATGGGGAACAACAACCTGAGGGTAAGGGTGCTGTCCTACAGGATGTGGATTATAAATCAGAGACTGTTTCATGGCACTAAATCTCCATCAGGAGGGGCACAGGAGTTGAGGAGCCAGGAGGGACGACAGTGGTGGCTCGCTTGGCATCCTTCTCAGTGATCCACTGTGGGACAGGTCAGTCTGAAGCTCTGGGCTCTGCAGGGTTAGACATCCTCACTGGGGACCCAGCAAGGGCTTCCCTCACAAGGACTTGGGCCCAGGGACCAACAGATGTGCAGATCAAGGGTAAGAGGCCCTGACCAGCAGGAGGAGGAGGTACAGGGGGAACAGGTGTAGAACTCAGGAGCCCTCTTAACACCATGCTACTCCCTTGCCTGGTCCTTTCTTTGAAAGCACAGGTACAGCTCCCCTAGTACAAAAGCCAGGGGCCTAGCTCCCTCTGGTGGGTGGGCAAGCCCCCAGAACCTACAGAGGTGACTCAGAAGACAGTGTTGGCATGAAGTCAACAGTCAGAGCAAGAAGTCAAGAGTCAGAGCAGGCTGAGGGGTGACGGGCTGCTTTGAGTGTGTGCAGACTTTGTCGCCGGACCTTCCAGGGGAGCAGTCTAATGGCGATCAGGGTCCGGGCTGGCAAAGCCAGCCAGCCACTGACCTGTGTGTACCAGTGCCATCCTGGGTGGCAGCTCTGCCTCCAGCTTCTCTTGCTGTGCCAGAAAAGACCTTTATCCCTTGAACCAAGGGCAAGCCCGGTGTTACTGTCTGCAGAGCTCCGCTCCTGCTGTTCAGGACATGGCTCACTAATGAGAAATAATGAGGGAGCAGGGGCCTCCAAGGGCCAGCTGTCCTGCTGGTGACAGCCAGTACCTTGGTCAGGGTCTGTGTCCAGCACCAGGCCACCTCTTCAGAGAAACCTCTATTTGCTTTCTCTGCAGGAGCTCTTTTGAATACAGGAATGCAGATTTTCCCTTTTTGCCCCCCCACCGCCATGCTGTTCCCAGCCAGCTCCGGGTGCATCCTGATGAGCTCAGGGCCTGGGTGTGATAAAAATGGTTTCTGTGTCCACTGATTTGGAATAAAAGGCTGGTCTTGCCCTCTCTACTTTGGGGACCACGCAGAATCAGGCCCAACACCCAGGTGTTGGAAAGGAGAGCGGGGACAGGAGATCTAGAGATAGGGTTGTTGTTAATTGCAAGTTACAGAAACCAACATAAGAAAGCCCTGAGAAACATGAGTGTTTTCTGTCACCCAGGGCGGGGATGAGCATCAGACACCGCTGCATCCCGGCACTCAGAGAATGGCTGCCCCCGACAACTCACCTTTCTCTGTGTCTGCTTCCTCCTCAGACAGGGGCTGTGTCCCTGAGACCTCTCTGTGCTGCTCCGGGCTGCTCCCCGTCCCTCCTCCGCTCCCAAGAGGGACAGGGAGCTGCTGAGGAAACCCCAGAGCACGCTGCATTGGCCGGGCTCCTGCATCGTGTCCACTGGGCTGGCATCACCTGGACCCCGGGACACACGGGGAACTGAGGAGTGGTGGCGAGGGCGGGATGCTGGCAGCAAAGCCCTGTCATCCTGCAGCTGTCCCATCCCCATTCTCCAAGGAGCTGAAGAGCCACGGGCTGTGGGCAGAATGCTCGGCCCTGGTGGGCACGGGATGGCTGGAAGCCGGTGGTGTCTCTGCACAAGTCTCCGCTGCTTGACTGCTGACACCCAGGTGAAGAGGGAGGTGCGGGGTGAGAGCAGCAGCAGCCCTGGCTGGGTAAGCACCCACAGGGCACGGGGTTGGGCAGGCCAGCTCAGGAGGCCCCAGCCATCACAGGAAGGAGCCTGCAACCTGCTCCCAGCCTGCTCCCTGACCTCCCAGGGCAGATGTGGCCAGCCCAAGAGGCAGGGTCACCCCGGCCATGGGCTGGGTCAGTGGGCCCCAGAAAACTACCTGGCCCTGGGGACTGGGTCTCCACTTAGGTGAGAACAGAAGCAGGCTGAGGGCCAGCACTGCAGAGGCTCAGAGGCCAGAGCCCTTCAAATGTCCACACCAGGTGATGGAGCAGTCTGGTTCCCTGCTGAGGCCTCCTGACCAGCACTGTGCTGGAATGCAGTGGGGTGGGGGCAGGGGGGGCAGTGGCAAGAGCGCCCCCTGGAGGAGGCCACGAGGCCTAAGGTCAAATCCAAGGGTCGGGGGCAGAGGCTGCTGGAAGAATTGGAGGGATGGAAACCCCTTGGCTGCAGAGAAGGCACCTGCCCCTCAGGCCCCTCTGGGGGACCACACGGGTGGCTCCTTGCCTCCTGTGCCACCCCATGCTCCCATGCTGCTGCCTGCCCTCCCCATAAGACCTTCTCTGAACCTCAGGATTCCCCGGGTCTCCCCATCCCACCTGTGTCAGTTTTGGCTCTGTGTGCGTGCGTGCGTGCGTGCGTGTGCAGTGTGCCCAAGCCTTTGGGCAAAAGTGGGGTCCCTGACCCCCTCGCAGAACTCTTCTCCCTCAGCCCCGCCTTACAGCCTTCAGGGCCTTAGGTTGGCTGGGCTCCCGTCTGCTTCCTGGGAGTGAGACCGCCTGGCCCCACCCGGGAGGGAGGTGGCTCTCTGTTTACACCCAGGGTCCCCCGGGGATTCAGGGTGGCTCCTTGGAGAACCAGCGCCTGTCAGGAAAATAACAAATGAGCCCAACGCTCTCAGTACTAGGCGGCAGATCCAATTAATGAAGATGAGGCCTGGGAGGAAGGGTGGGCCGGGGTGGTCCCAGGGCTGGGGTGGGTGGGGAGCATCAGACACATCTGTGTGTGTGTGAATCCGTGTGCTCAGGGACACAGGTGCGCACTAGGAGGAAGCTGACCCTGTGGGCTCCCTCTGTGTAGGACACAGGTCAGGGTCACAAGTGTCCCCTCCTCCCACAAAGTCCTGGGATGGCAGGAGCCGAGAGGACATTGCTGCTCCCTGGGACACTTGCCAGATGCACAATTACTCCACAGCACATGCACAAGTGCACACACACGCAGAGCCAGGAAACAGGAGCAGCATGGAACAGGCTGCCCCAGGCCATGCCGGGAAGTATTGGGGCCTCAGGGCGGAGGGTGCAGCAGGCCCGTGAGGTTCCCAGAGATTCCTGCAGGACTCCCAGGGTGGCATTAGTGCTTTCTGTCTCAGGCAGGGACAATGGTGTCAGCACAAAGTGCATCCTGGGAGCCCCAGCCCCCGACCCAGACTACAGCCCATCTTCTGCAGGGGCTGCCTGACTCCTTCCTGTGGTCCCAGGGAGGGTGTCTGTGTCCCCAAGGTGCTCACTGCCCAGTGTGTCCCTTGCCCAGCTTTCCATGGGCCCACCTGAGCTGCCTCTTCCTGGCATGGCTGGTCCTCCTCCTTTTCCAGCTGTGTCTGCCTGATGCCAGCAGAGCTGGAGGAGCTGAGTGTGAGGAATGTGGCACCTTCTGGGCCCCATCTCCCCCCGTGCAGTGTTGCCACACCATATGAGCAGGTGTCCAAGGTCCCGGGAGGACACATGCAGGGAGTTTGTCTTGAGTGAATCACCTGTGTGCCATCCTGAAGGGTGATTTCAGCCTGTGGTGCCCTGATGGGGAGCACAGGGAACCCACAAACCTGGTGTGACAGGCTTCCCACATGTGGAAAGGCAGGCATATTGGCCAGGACTCTTCATGGAAACTGCAGCACACCTCTGAAAGGCCACTGGCAGCAGTACCTCCTTCAGGCATGGCTGGATCCAGAAGCCTGACGACTAGCACCTATGATGCTAGAACCTGTGACTCCCCATCCCTGAGCTCAGCTCTGCTCTCTTCTCAGACACCCACTCCCCTTAGTAGGGCACCTCTAGGCTGAACCCCAGCTCACAGCCCTGGGGTAGATGAAGGGACTTGCGCCCAAATCCTTAAGCTGGCTGACTATCCCCAAGGGATGCCCTAAGAGTCAGTTGTGTACCCATTTGAGGCCAAAGGTGGGGGTCCGCCTGCAGCGGGGGGAACTCCAGGTTGTCTTCAGAGAACAGGATGGATGCTGTCCGAGTGACAAGTGCTCCTTGTCTGTGTCATTCAAAGTACTGTCACACACTTCACCAAGCCCTAGAAAACCAAGGCACAGAGAGCCCTGGGGCGCAGCCATGCCCTCTATGAGCAAGTGGAGGCTCCAACTTGACTCCTTGCAGTTTGCCCAGACCAGCCCCGCCCACCTCCTGCCAATACCAGAGCATTTGCTGAGCACCCCCTTTGTGCAGCCTGGCTAAGGCTCAGGGCCACCTTGCTCCCAGGGTAACAGGAAGGCAGAGGCTACCCGCTAGCTTGGTCCCCAGGAGTGCTGTGGGAAGGACTGGCCTGAGGCCTCTGGAGCTGACAGACGCCTCCCCTTCCTCCCTCTCTGGGGTGGCACCGGCAAGGCGGGAGCAGAGGCCCCTACAGGCCGTTCATCTTCCCCAGAAACATCCCAACCTGCCTGCTGGTCAGTCACAGTGACTGTGGGCACAGTCGCCCAGAGGGCTGCAGCAGCTTTGGGCCGTGTTCTCCCCTGCACCTTCCTTCTGTAGGACCCACTGCCACCCCAAAGCGTGGGTCCCCTGGCCCGAGACTGAGAATTTCCAGATGCAGGGAACTGAACCTCAGCCCCACCAATGATGCGAAGCTCTGAGCTGCCACACGGCACTGCCTGAGGGGCCACCTCACCCCACTCCACCTCGACCACAGAGGGGCACGCTGGGCCTGGCGTGTCCTCCTCTGCCCCCGACTTCCTCTCCCAGGAAGAGATGGGGAGCACACCTGTCCCAGAAGGACCCCAAATGCCTGGCTGTGTCTTGCCATGCCCCCAGCTCCACCCCACTGCGCACACCCAGGGCCATGAGCAGAAGTCCGCCAGCTTGCACTGGTCCAGGAGAGGAGCACACGGCTGCTTTCGGCCAGGATCTGTCTCCGCACCCCAGCATCTTGGCTCCCCAGGCATGTTTAAACGCCGTCCCTCCCACCTGGTGTGACGACTTCCCTGGCACTGAGGCCCAGCCAGCGGCTCCGGCCAACGCACTTGGCTCTGGGGAGCTAAATCCAACCCAGCCCAGCTGTCTCTCCTCCGGCTCCCAGCCCGCCGGGCCCCCGCACACGGATGTGCACACACCCTTCTTGCCCCACGTGGGTCCCAGGGAGCCCCAGAGAGGGGAACCGGAACCTGCCCAGCGGTCCTGAAGGATCTGAACTCTTTATAGGTGGTGCCCAGGGCCCAGTGTTGGGCCAGGCACACGACAGTGCACAGCAGGCATGGGACAGGGAATGCAACCCCCTCCCACAGCCAGTGACGGTCGGCTCGCTGGCAGCACCACACTGGGCACAGACAGAGGGCACAGGTCACATCTGGCAAATGCACCAGCGGCTGAGCCGAGCGGCCGTCTCTTGCCCAGCGCTGCCCTCTTTATCTTTTGAGGCAGCATTGTGAGCTCATGTCTGACGGGTCACATACCGTCCACTTCCGGGGCATCCACACCCCTGGGTCTAGGGACACACTGGGGTCCAGGGGTCTCAGAGGTCCCCCTTGAGTAAGGCCAGCAGGAGAGGCTGACAAAGGACCGTCCATGAACTCCTTAGCCCATTTTATTTAGGCTAGCAATGCACTTAGTTAAAATGCTGCTGTCCTGCCCAGTGTGGCATAGGATGAAGTTCTCTCCAGTGGTACCTGGTGTACCTGTACGGACAGACCTTCAAAGGAAGCGAACTCATCTGAGGGAATAGCACTTCTACCCTTACTCCAGGCTTCCTCCTTTCTGGTCAGATTTGTGTATGATGGCTAGCACATGGGCAGCTATTCTGGGCCTCGAGGTGGCACCGAGAGTGGAAGCTAATGATGAAGTAAGACAGGAGCTGGGTTCCCAGTGACACTCGGCCCTCTGCCAGCCTGGACAGTGTGGGCTGTGCCACATGATAGAAAAGCACATTTCTGTTTTGTTGGAGTCTGTTATTCCGGGCTTTCTCAGATGTAGAGCTCTAGTCTTGAAGGGCAAGCAGCCCAGTTGGCTCAAATGTCCCCAAGCAAGTAGGAGGCCACTCAGTGTCCTGCAAGCAACCTCACGGAGAAAGCTTCCTGGCTCCAATAGGCCTGGGTCTGCACAGGGCCCCTCTGTGCCCTAGAGCTCCAGGAAGCACTGCGGTGGGCGCTTGTTGGTTTTACTCCAACGGTTTTCCCAAATCTGCTCCACTGCGGACCCTGGTCCTCCAGAAACGCCAGACAACAGCCATCGAGCCTTGAGACTGCAGGCCCCCTAGGCTCCTCAGCACCCTTTTCACTGCTCCTCATGGCTGGGGACCCGGCTGAGACAGTGCATTCAGAGGTACACAGTCCAATGTGGCAACACAGTACGTGCTCAATAAAGCTGGGCCACTACGAGGGAGCTCAGGGCAAGGGCTCCAGAGCGAAAGTGGAAGTGAGGGACCCTGCCCCACTGTCCTGTGCTCCTGAGCCCCGCCCTCACCCTGCAGGGGACAGTGTCTCTGTCACCATGGACAGGGCAGGGGCAGGGTGGGGGCTGCTGAGCCAGATGGGGTCAGATCCAAGCTGGCCGGCAAAGCCCCCGCAGGGAAGATGCTGTGGAGTACAAAGTTTATGAGTGGAATACCTTTCTCCTTTATATCTTTTGGCAGAATTTAATGGGTGCAGACAGTTCAGGTCCCAAAGACATGGGAAAAAATAAAAAGAACAAGAACAAGAAAAAGCCCTTTACTGCTGCTATTGATAACTTGTCTCTTCACAAGGCGGGTTCAAACCTAAAAATACCTCCTCCCGACGACAAGGAAGCCAGAGTGCTGTCACGTTGCAGGAGACTTGAAAGTGGGGGGAGGGATCGGCCTGAGCCGCGTGAGATGGGCCAGGGCTCCATGGCCAGGCTGCTCCTGGCTGCATCCACACAGGCGGCTCCATGGACGCCCCAGGAGGGCATTCAGAGTCTGCTCCGCGGGCCTGGGACAGCTGGGCAGAGAAGCTTCAGGCCCGGCCCTCCATCGGCCAGCTGGGTGGGGCCATGGTATGCAGACCTGGGTGCTTGGATGCCCAGCCCTGGCTGGTCTGACAGGGCTGCACTGGACACATGCCAGATGAAGAGATAACCCCAGACCCAGAAGCCCACGGTCAGGTCAGTGTGCAGCGGGGCAAAGGGCAGCGGGCTGTGGGCAAGGCTGCTGCTGGTCCCCGGGCAAGCCGCTTCTGCCCTTTGAGCCTCGGTTTCCCCCATCTGGAGTGGGGAGCCACACCCTCTGTTTTGCTTCCTTCACAGGAGAGGGCGGGAGGCTGGACAATCCAGGCATGTGTTCCTAGGTGGCCCTGGCTGACCACAGGGAAGCTGGTGGCCAGGGGTAGGCTGTGGATCACTGACCGGTGACTTCTGATGGGTGGGCTACTTCTTCCTTCTGGGCTAAGACAATGGGGGCAGGGCCGCAGAGACGCAGGCAGGGAGCCCTCGCCCTCTACCCTGAGTGCCCAGGCCTGGCTTGGCTCCCAGGGTCCTCTCAAGACCCAGAGGCCCATCCATGTTGCTCCCTCAAATTCAGAAGGCAGGACAGGGAGGTGCCAATCTTCACAGCATGCTGGGCCAGGGGCATCACAGATCTTGCCATGGGGCTGCTCTTGGGCTTAGCTTGGTCTCAGAAAAGTTCAGTGGGGGGCATGCACCCAAACATGGTCCACAGACCAGCAGGCTCCCCAGAACAGCCCACCAAACCAGCCCGTCTCAGGACCTGACAGCACACACAACCATTGCTGCTGCACCTGATGGGGACTGGCGGTCACAGCCAGGTGGGATGCTTGGGCATTGTATTCCAGTGCAGGGCCTGGGCAGCTCTGGGCACAGCCTGCATAGCATATCTGAGGCTCAGCCTACCCCTTGATAAGATGGGACAATGGCGCAATGGTCACTTGCTTTGCCGCTGCAGAGGGGAAACCAGCCAAGGCATGTCAGTCACAGGGCACTCCACTGTCACTGTCAGAATCACTGCCCTCCTCATCCTCATCAGGGCATGGCCCTGAGCCCCTCCTTTCTTCTCTCATTCCGGGATAATTCTGCCTCAGTAATTTGCCTCTTCACCTTGCAAAGATGGTGAAAAGTGCCCCAAGTGCTCCTAGGGTACCCCCGTCAACAACAGGGGTGGTCACCCCAGCTGCCCACCCCAACCCTGATGGCAGGGGCCAGGCAGGAGGAAGCAGAGCTGTTTAAAGGGGGCAAATCCTGGCCCAGCCCAGGGTCCATGTGCACCAGAGCCTGCCCAGCCCCACCCCAGGGTGGAGATGGCCATCCTCAGCCAGGGTGGTCCTGAGCAGATGGCAGGGCATTCAGCCTCAGCCTCTGACCCCTGGAGCTGATGGTGAGCATGCGGGTGCTTGAGCCTCTGGGGGGCACAACACAGGGGTCAGTCTTAGAGAACTGGGGTGAGGGGAGCGGAGGGTGGTGGGAATCCAGGACCTTGAGCTGGTCCTAGGCCAGGCTTCCAAGGAAGCTTCAGAGCCTGGTCATCTCCGTAGCAACCATCCTGTTGTCCTTGTCCTGGCTTGGGGGCCACACGCCGCACCCTTCCCTCTGCTGGCACAGTCGCTCTCTTCAGAGGTAACCATGGTAACGCCTTTGTTTCGGAGGCCAGCCGCCTCCCTCCCATCTCCTCTCTCTTCTAGAGCTGCACAGGGGGCTTCCTCCCAGGCCTGCCATGTCTCCACAGCCCAGCTGACAGCGGGCCCATCAGTGAGCTGGGGTAGCCCCTGGGACAGGGGGGCTGGGGAAGAGGCCTGGGCCCCCACTCACTCATTAGCACCCCAGTATTTATGAGGGCAGAGTATCTGCCTGGGGCTCACAGAAGTAGCCAAAGGTGACCCCTGCCTTCAAGTCACCCTCGGTCCTGGTAAGGGAGACCTGTGTGATCACACACACACACACACACACACACACACACACACTCTCTCTCTCTCTCTCTCTCTCTCTCTGATGGAAGTGAAGAGACACATTCTAAGGAGGGAATGCTGGCCCTAGGGTTGGCGCTGAAAAACAGGCATGCTCAGTACACCAATGTGCTGTGGGATCATGGGTAACTGATCAGTGTTCTAGTGGTTTCAGGGGACCTGTACCCTTCTGACTCCACCTTAAATTGGCTTAAGCAGAAAAGAAAATGCAGGTGTTCAGACAATTGAAAAATCTAGGCTAGATCTTACAGCTGGTTCCAGGTGGCCCAGTGATATTTGCTTTTATTCCTCCTGATCTTTGGCTTCATTCCTATGTTTCTTGCTCCTCGGGTGACAACACTCTTATCAGGAGCCGAAGGCTTCAATCTGGGGTGGTCTGTAGGCAGATGAGAGTCATCTGACTTCTGGTCTGTTCGCTGAGGCTGCAGTGAAGCCCAGAGCTTTGCCTCGGAGGTCAGGCCATATGCCCAAGCCAGCAGTTGCTGAGAGTCTGAATAGCTCCCTGGTGTAGTCACTCCTTTCATCGTGAACCAGAACCCCAGTTCACATGGCACGTGGCTAGGGAACCCTTCTTTGCAAAGGAAAACGGATGCTTACAGGTTTAGAGAGGCTGGATAACAGCAGGCAGGGATACAAGCTCCAGGTGTGCCACCTGAGCTTCTGGTACGCCGACGGGGCCAGGGAGGCCAGTGCAGCCTAAAGGGTTCTAAACGAGTCAGAGCTGCAGGTGGAGGGCTACACTGACGCTGGATTTTGGCAAGCGACGAGGGTCATGCAAAGGTGGGGGAGACGATATTTGGCATTTACCCCGTTCCGGGTGTGTGGAGGACACCCCTCTGACACATGCACACACCAGGGGAAAACAGAGGAGGGGTGAGTCTCCCGGCGCGCACGCCAACAAGCGCCTACGCCCGGGATCACCTGACTCACTGTTTGTAAACTAGCCTTTCCTCGGCCACGCCCTTCCCTCCTTCTCGCCCGCCCCGCCCCGGTCAGTATCTGCATGACCCCGCCTCTCCCCTGCAGCGATTGGTTTTGCACGCAGTCATTCCTCCGCGTAGGCGGAATGCCGAGGGGCGGAGGGAGAGGTCACCCGGGCGACGTGATCAGCATAGTCCCGCCCTCCGGTGCGGCCTTCGGGCCTGGGGCTGATTGGGTGAACGGTGATCTACGCAACAGCGGCAGGCGCGACGAGTGGCTGTACGAGTTGTCTGTCGGTGAGGCGGCGGGCCGCACTTCCGCCTCGGTGTCAGTGGGTCGCGGGCTGAGAGCTGAGGGCTTCTGGCCTTGGGC